GCCAGATCTTAGGAAAGCTGATGAAGCACAAATGGGCATGGGTGTTCAACTCGCCTGTTGACGTGGCAGGTTTAGGGCTTCATGACTACTACCAGATCGTGAAGAAACCCATGGATCTTGGTACGATCAAATCCAATCTGGAAAAGGGTTTCTATGGATCACCGTTAGATTTTGCTTCCGATGTTAGATTGACCTTCAACAATGCATTGGCTTACAACCCTAAGGGTCATGACGTGTATTTTATGGCCGCGAAGCTTCTGGCTCAATTCGATGGAATGTTCGACCCTGCGTGCAAGAGATTCGAAGCACAGCAGCATAAAGTTACCGAATCATCGTCCCGCCATGAACCCGAGTTCAGGCAAAGAACCTTGAATCAGAATCAGATGGCGGAAAATGTAAGAAAAGGACCTGAACAGATTTCGATTGCCAAGAAGCTAGATTCAGTGAAGCCACAGCTTACATTGCCGGCTCCCGTAGTGGAACCGCCACGTTCACCGTCTCCGCCACAGCAGCCGCCGCCACCATCTCAGCATCAGCAGCAGCAGAATCGTCCGGTCAGTCAGGTCGAAGCACCACCAGATGAGGGTGGGGCAACGACAGTACGCAAGGGGAAGCTGCCGAAGCCCAAGGCTAAAGACCCAAACAAGCGGCTGATGACAATGGAGGAGAAGGCGAAACTTGGACTGAATCTACAGGATTTGCCTCCTGAGAAACTCGGCCAGTTGGTTCAAATTCTTAGGAAGAGGAACAGACATCTGGCCCAAGATGGAGACGAAATCGAGCTAGATATCGAAGCCATCGACAATGAGACTCTGTGGGAACTCGATCGTTTCGTGACAAATTACAAGAAGATGGTGAGCAAGATCAAGCGTCAAGGGTTTATCCGGAATAACGTATCAACTCCCCCGAGAAACAACCTGGTGAGAAAAATTGAGCACTCTGTTGCTACAAAGTCGCCATTTTTTCATGTTTACTGAAACTGCAGTGAGTACTGATTGCTGTTTTACGTTCCCCGCCTTAGCCTCCGGTGACAGAAATGGGCAGTGCAGAGAAGAAGGGGAAGAAAGGGGATGCAGGGGAAGACGAAGTGGATATAGGAGAAGATATACCGATTGAGAATTACCCATCTGTGGAGATCGAGAAGGATGGTACAGCCGCAGCTGCTAGTAGTGGGTCTAGTTCTTCAGGCAGCTTAAGCTCCAGTAGCAGTTCCTCTTCTAGTGGTAACCTGCCCATTTCTCCGTCCCCCCATTACGTTTTCCTTTTGATGTCGCAAGTGTCGCTTCTCCTGTTAACTTTGTAGTTGCACGATCCCATTACAGGTTCGGATTCAAGGAGTTCATCGGGTAGCGATTCGGATGCAGATAGCGTGCAATCACCATGTGTGGAGTCAAAAGAAGCTCGATGACAAGTCTCTGTCTTGCTTGCCGGTTTCTTTGTCAGAGGTGTTGAGGAGAGGTAATTCCGGTCCTCTTCTCACAAGTAAACACAAGGCTTTGTAGTGTCAGCAACAATCCCACAAGAAGGAGGAGTTGGTGGGTGGTGTGTAAAGATAGGAAATGAATGGGACAGTGAATTAGTAAGTAGTAGTAGTAGGTTTATTTTTTTTATATTTTATTTACGAAATCCTTTAGGTAGTAGTAAATAGTAGAAAATGCAATGGGTAGATAGTGAGTTTCAAAAGCAAGAAGCAGAAGAGTTCTTTTTTTCCCCCTTTCCAGGTTTAGGTTTTAAGTTGGTGGTGGTGACATGATGAAGATGAACAACGGGGTGAGGGAGAGTTTTTTTTTTTCTTTTTTTCTTTTTTTCTTTTTTCTTTTTGTTAGTTTTGATCCTCAATCTGTGGGGTTAGGGAAGAGTTTAAACAGGTGTGAATGGATTGTGTTAGTGAAAGAAACAACAGTGGTTAACTTCCTCTCTTTTTTCCTCTAAATTCCTTCAGTGGACATGGTATGCATTAAGACATGACAAAGACATATGCCAAAAGCCAAAATCTTTAGATCCACTTCCTTCCATCTGCCAACAGTTACTTGGAGGGAAAAGGCTTCACAGTTGGAACTACGGGAACAAACAGCAAAGATAATATATGCGATGTGCTTTTGATGGGTGTCATGTATATACATATATATATATATATGTATATCCATCCAACAATGGTTGATCCAATCTTGTGTGACAGCTCTAGACCAACACTAGCAAACTTCAACTGGAACAGTGTCCCTGTAAGACCAACATGCCCTTCTCAATTCAAGATTAGGCAAAAAGGACAAAAAGAGAGACCAGCCAGTGGCCCCCTCATCCTGATGGGTAATAATAGCACATTCTGAAGAGCATTGCCAGTTTCCATGAAACACAGGTGTCCCCCCTGCAAATTGGAATGCCACCACTTACCTCAGTGTAATTGTTGTAAAACCCAGAAGCTTAGCCTTTTCCAATCGAATCTACAATATCTGTGTCAATAATTGATGTATTGTCCAAATCACCCGTAGAGCCATGGGAACCAGGATCCTGCATATGTTGAAAACAAGTTGCTTGTTGGAGGCAATCCCTCAATTCCTTTGTTGTCTGTTATCAACTTTCCACTTCTTCTTTGTAGCATCCAAAGGGTTCTCGAATAATTTATTACGAATTCCAGATCCTCCTATAACCTGGAAGCATAAGAACATATACTTGGCAAGGCTAATGTTTTAAAACAGAACTGTTCAAATTTGTTAAATTGTTCCTTTTTATCAGATGATGCGAGTTGAGCATGAACGACAAAATACCGGAAAACGTGTATAGGATTAACCTGAACACCTCCCGATGACGGCACGAAGCTCGGGTGTGTCTCCTTGACAGCCTTAAGCTGCGTGACAATGATAATTGAGTCAATTATCTTCTGCAATGGCTCCACCAACTTTGGATATGACGGATCTATGGTTCCACAAGCCACTGCAGATTAGACTCCCGAAGAATCTCATCAAACCGTACTTATAAAATCAAAGGGATCTATCAATCTGGAAAACTTTAACCAAATTCACCATTCAAGTCGTTCAACAACCCACTCATCGATCCACATCGAAATTCCTACAGAAGACGACGAATCCAGAGAAACACTTGGAGATCAAATCCTTGAAATTCATGTATTTAATAATTCATTTATTTGGGACTTTTGTCTCATCAAACCGTACTTATAAAATCAAAGGGATCTATCAATCTGGAAAACTTTAACCAAATTCACCATTCAAGTCGTTCAACAACCCACTCATCGATCCACATCGAAATTCCTACAGAAGACGACGAATCCAGAGAAACACTTGGAGATCAAATCCTTGAAATTCATGTATTTAATAATTCATTTATTTGGGACTTTTGACAGCTGGAATAGCTCAGTTGGTTAGAGCGTGTGGCTGTTAACCACAAGGTCGGAGGTTCAAACCCTCCTTCTAGCGTTTTATGTTTTTTCAATCAATTAAAAATCATATGCCATAATATAATGATTTATTAGACAATATAAGGAAAGAATAAATGGGAAAAAAATAGATTTCAAGAAGCTGACAAAATAAGGAGTTTGGATCACATTGGGCACGATATAGTTATTGGTTGTGGGAGCAAGAAAACTAAAGTCAAAGAGAAACTAGAGACGAAATTAAATTAATGCAAGGACAAAAAGTTAATCCATTATACGAAACGTTTGCTATCTCTTTCCCTTATAAATAAGCCTGGAAAAACATATTCAAAAGGAGATCATTTTCTTTCCTTTTCTCTGCTTTTCCTGGAAAATTTTTTGCAGAAGAAAGAAAAAGAATGGAGAAGAGAGGAGAAACACCAGAACACCCCGTGAAGGCCTTTGGTTGGGCAGCCACCAAACCATCTTCCCATATCTCCCCTTTCCATTTCTCCAGAAGGTCCCTCTCTCTCTCTCTCCCTCGTTTTTTCAAGAGATGTGTTTAATATATAAGAAGGAAAATATTTGTCAGGGAAACAGGTGAAGAAGACGTGAGGATAAAGATACTGTACTGTGGAGTTTGCCACTCCGATCTTCACAGCATCACCAATGACTGGAATCTCTTCGTCTTCCCTATTCTTCCCGGGTATTCTCTCTCTCTCCTGTTCTTCGATCTTCTTCAAACAATTCTTACTTCATAAACTGTTACTGTACGTAGACACGAAGTATCTGGAGAAGTAACCCAAGTGGGGAACCGGGTCACGAGATTCAAACCGGGTGATCGGGTTGGAGTCGGATGCATCGTCGGGGCGTGCCACACGTGCGAAGATTGCTCCCACGGTCTCGAGAACTACTGTCCCAAAATGATCCTATCGTACGGAATGATCGACCGTGACGGAACCCTAACGTACGGAGGTTATTCCGACCACATGGTCGTCAACGAGCGGTACGTCGTCAGGTTCCCCGACAACATGCGGCTCGATGTCGGAGCGCCTTTGTTGTGCGCCGGCGTCACGATGTACAGTCCGATGAAGCGGTTAGGGCTGGTCGGACCGGAGAAGCACGTCGGTATCGTCGGGCTCGGAGGGGTAGGTCATGTCGGGGGGAAATTCGCCAAGTCGTTGGTTAAAGTTACTGTGGTAGAGATCGATGAAGGGAAGAGAACCGATGCTTTGGATAAATTCGGAGCTGATTCGTTTATTCTTAGCAATGACGAAGAAGCCATCAAGGTAACTGATTTTTTTTTTTAAAATAAAAGTTTTGAATAATCGTAAGGTTGCATGGAAATGGAATGAAATTTCACGTATTGA